TTTATAATTTTCTACTTGCTGTTTCATTTTAAATTACAATTTATGTAATTAAAGTACATTATTTGGTTTAATTCATTGAATTTTTTATCGTATACTTGTAGGGACTGGTCGTCAGAGCCAGGCGAGCCAGGGTGCATGGTCACATGCAGAGTTCTTTCAGACGCTTGTGAGTGAGGTTGAAACCCGCGATCCCGCGACGATGCGGTACGTGAATCAGTTCATGTACAGTCATCTTTACCCAGACCAACAGGATTGTGCGGAACCTGAGGTTAAGGAAAACCCGCGAGGTCGTCCCATGAAAACTAATTCAATTATACGTAAACCATGTGCTTGGGAGTACAACGATAGATCGCGAGGTCGGAAATCGAGCCGTACGACCAGTTCTTCGCGTGGACAGACAAGCTCGTCTTCAACAGTCACAAGGGGAAGCAGGTGATACATTTTTTTTTTACTGCCTATTCATCCCATGTGGTTCACTCACCGAGATCCTTCGGTTGTGGGTTGGGAGGATCAGTACCAGACTAGGTTGCAATTGTGGTTTACTGTTCAAAATAGACCTTTTTGAATAATGCAACGATATTTTTCGATTCAGTTGTGGTATGACGCTTCTCATTCAACTTAAGTTTAGCAAATAAAAAAAAATGAATCAGTTCAACTTAAGTTTAGCCAAACCCATCGGGACTGTCAGGAAAACGAGACTGTCTCGAAGCGCAGGAACATACGATCATGTTACATAATAATCGAAAATCGCATTAACGGTACTTTTTTTTTTTTCATTTTTAATATAAATCATTCAACTTAATGTTTTACAATAATAATAAAAAAAGAACATTCATTACATCATTATTGGGCATTGTCGTAATCCAACTTAAACTTAGCCAAATCTTCTTGGACTTGCACCGCCTCCGGACATTCACCAAGGAACTGCTGCATGGTCGATGTAATGCCCAAAAGACGGTCCACCCACTAAAAAAATGGAAGAATAAAAAGATATGACTAAATTTTTAAAAAAAAAAAATTATTGTAATGAAATAACATTAATTAAAATTTAGTAACCAACTTACATAGGCGGTATCGACACGCGTAGGGACCTCGTTCTCGTCCAACAGCTCCTCGCCCATGACAGTCGGATAGGAGACCCGACCGTACCACTGCAAGTAATCCTCAGTCGCCTCCCCGCGATCATGTGTGGTGGGGGTTAAAATACCGGTGTTGACCGTCCCAGACAACGGGAACTGGGTCCAGGCATCCACTGCAGCGGCCTCAGAATGCTCAATCCTGTAATTCCTAGACTCCCAAGCACGTACTGCACTGATTGACGGGTATGTAGGGGGAGGGACAGTCTGGACATACCCCAACTGACGCAGACACTGCACATGCAAGTACGACTCGACAACATCGCGGTATCGAATCAATCCGCTATAAAGAGTCCTCGGCTCTATCGCATCTGGGCTGGAGCTGTCGTATGGCAACCATTGCACCTGTTCACAATTGCATAAAAGCATTTATAAAAATAATTATATTATCTTAAATAACGGGTAACTAAATTTAAATAAAATAACTTAACGTACATCCGAGGCAGTGAGTCTGTCGAGGCGCCGACGGATGGCTGTGAGCCGATCGTCTGACCTTGGCGCATTCCCTACGATCCATGAGCGAGATTGTGCGACACAGTCAGAACCGATGGGTAGACGCCCCTGGGGTAAAAAATCGGAAAAATACTCATATATCCAGGACTGCAGAAGAGCCACGCAGCCCGATAGTCCACTGGAGTCCCCTCGGCTGGCAATACCTAGCTGTCTGTACAAGTATGCCAGCGTAGCCGATCCCCATGAGTAACCCCTAATCACATCCAAGCCGTCGAGCACCTCGTGCAAGAGCTTGGGGGTCACTCTACTACTACTCTTGTCGACGAACAATGTGGTAGCCAGCATCACCCACAGACACCCGCCTCATCCCTAGCCGGTCGACCTTTCCCCCTGAATGCCCACATAATGGAGGCTTCAGTCACCGAACCACGCTGCCAAAACAAACTCATGAGTTCGGCCTTGGTGACCGAAAGTATCGACATGCAGAGCCCATGGCAAGCGTTTAAATCTGGGTCCTCAGCGACCACAACTCCCTCCACAGGAACGCCCAAAATGGCCCGGACGTTGTGCAGCATGATGCTCATTTCACCAAAAGGCAGGTGAAACGAGTTCGTATCCGGCTGCCATCGCTCCACAAATGCAGAAAGGAGTGGAGTGTCCAAGTGGATGTGCATGGAGTCGACCAGATGTGACAGCCCGGTGTTTTCGATCAGAGGTCTCGCATCGGAAGACGTTTCATCACGCCAAGCCCTCAGATTCTTGATCGCTCTCAGTCTGTTGTGGCATTTCAGCAGCCCCCTCAACTCTCCACTCCACATGCGGGAGGCAACGTGCCCTAGAAAGCTAGGGATGACACTCCCATCAATGGGCCCACCGGCCATTGGGCCTTTAACGATCCAGGGTGCATCATCATCGGTCCTAGCTCGTTTGCTAGTACCTGCATTACAATACAACATATCTGTATATATAGACTTACTGGCAGATGCATTAAATAAAATATATTTAATAAAACATATTTCATAAGTGTCCCGCTCTTTTTTTCAATTAATGTACAAACATTAAATTTTACATTAATAAAATATAATGATAATTTTAAACTAATTTATTATGTAAAATATCAAACTAATTGATTATAACAATAATAAAAAATAATTAAAATAATTTTAATTGTATGGTTCCTATAAAATACAAAATAATTATACCGTAGTTGAGGAGCATGCCGATAATACTTTTCTAACAGTACCGATAATTTGTTATGATTAAGTCAAAATAATTTATGTTAAACAACAATAAATACGTAAATTATTTACCTGATGAGGATGCAGCGGGGCCAAAACGCCCCCCAGCTTGTCGTTGAGGAGCAGACTGTGTAGGACGAACAGCCTGTACCGGACGAACATGCTGTAGAACCGGCTGTACCGGACGAACATGCTGTACAAGAGGACGAGGGTGGCTAGGACCCGTAGGCTGTGCGTGGTCCTGATCATCTGAGGAGTCGTCCGAGTCATACTCTTCTGGACCCTGCTCCCTCTCGCCGTATGACTCATCAGCATACCTCTGCTGACCATAAGGTAACGGTACGCGTGCGCGGAGGGGTATCGACTTCCCTGCGTAGCGGGGAAAAGCATATCCTGACTGATCGTACGGTCCTGGTGTCGGGGGCATCGAACTACCTGCCTGGCCAGGATAATAATATCCATGCTCACCGTACGGTAGGACTCCGTGGAGTCGCGAACTATCTGGCTGACCCTCAAAATGATATACCTGCGGACCATCTCGTACTGGTGCGGGGGGTCTCGAATTCTGCCTAGCCTGAAGAGTCTGTACCCTCCGAGCCTCATCGATCAACGTCTGTTTGTGCCGACTAACGGACGCATTGACACCCCGACTTCTAGTGTGTCGGGTGCCAGAACCATCATAATAGTCATCGAATGCCTCGTCGTCGTCCCTGACATTAGATTGCCCAGATATGCTAAAACCCTGAATCAGAAATATAATTATTAAATTTTTCTATATGTAATAACTATTGTAATAACTATTAAAATAGATTATAATTCATTTTTATTTTAATTTATAAATTTTATTAATATAATTTTTAATTATAATTATAATTTAATTATTATTATAATTTATAATTGTTATTATAATTATTTCTAATTTGTAATTATTATTATTATTATTATTTTAATTAGAATTATTTATAATTATTATTATAATAATTATTAAAAACTGTCCGGCCGGCTTGCGACCGGTCCGGTTTGGTTCGACCGGCCCCTGATCGCGCACAACTTTTCTGGTGGGACCTGACGCCTTTTCCGCTGTCCAGAACCGACGACCGGACGGCCGCCGCGCATCCGGAGGCGTCGGCCGGACACCGGTCAGAATATATTTTTTTTTTTACAAAATATTTAATGCGTAGAAAAAAATAAATTTACCTTGCTAGAGAAGTACGTTTTGCCGAGGCCGTAGGATTTTTTCGATATTTTTTCGAATTTTTTTCGGTGCTCGAATTGCTCGTTGAAAGTTCGGGAATTTAGAGAGATAGAGAGTAAAAGAGGGTTTAGAGAAATAGAGTAAAAAAAAAGGTTAGGGACAAAAGCGTAAAAAAGGAACGGTGATTAGTAAAGGGTTGACGTATATAGTAAATGAGGTGAACTAAACAAATTCAGCCTCGCCTAATCTATCAAATGAATCGAGGCTAGCTCATTGGCTCGTTTAATTTAAACAACTATACTGATCTATATATATATAATTGCTAGCTAAGCAATAAATTTTACCTAATAAATAAAACCTAATAAATTTTACCTATGTGGCAAATCATTAATAAAACCTAATAAATTTTATTTATGTGGCATTAATACACCCAATCTCATTAATAGGAAAATATTTCATTACATTTTTTGGGTTAATTAAGACAAAAACCATTATATTTTATGTTAATTGATTAATAGTTATATTTTTTATTGAATAATATAATAGTTAATATTGAAATTAGTAATTATATTTTATACTAAATAATATATGAAAGTTACATAAAATTATATTTTACACTAAAATCAATATTTTTTTATATGATGAAGATGTTGTTTATTAATAAATATATTTTTTTTATGTCATAGTAAAATTTCTTAAAATCACATAAGCAATTGTTATAATAAATGTAATATTTTTCAGCTAATTAATTGGTCATGATAAAAAAACCATCTTTTGTGAAACCCTCGTTCTCCTTCCCCCAATTTCGAAAGAAAAGCGCCGCTGCACTCGATTCCGCCGCCTTCCACTGGGCTTCTGAGATTCGCTGGCAGACGTCTACTGGCCGCTCGGCCTCTTTCCGTTGTTGCGGCTTCCCTCGCCTTGATGCGCAATTGATTGAAGTTCGCCCAAATCCAAGCCGCCTACTCCGGTGCTGCGATGAGGGGATGGTGCTGCCCTGTTGGTGCCGCCCTTTTGCTCCGGTGCTGCGGTTCGGTGATGGAGCGGCTCCGGTGCTGTGGCTCTGCGGTGAGTCCCTGTCTCGGTTTCGCGATTGTTGACCACCGTGGAGCTGCGGCGGGTTTTGGACGAGGTGAAGCTCAGCGGGAAGGGGTCGGGTGCGGCTCCGGCGGCTTTCAGTCTCTGGCCGGAGTGGCTAGGGCTGATACTTCAGCTCGGCTCCCTCTCCCGGTTCTCTGTCACGGGGTCCTTGGTTTGCTTGCCAATCGGTTCCGAGTTGCTAGTGGTGTTAGTCGGCTCGGCCCGGCTCGGTGGTGGATGAGTTCACTCTCTTACGCGGGGTCTTGGAGTGTTTGCTGTTGGTATTGAGTTGCTAGTGGTGTTAGTCGGCTTGATACTGCGGTGGATAGGTGCTATCTGGAGTTTTCGGCTTGGGGAGAATTGGCCTTTTGGGGATATTCTGATGCTTGGATTTCGGCTCAGCTAGGCAGTTAGGCAGTGGAGGGGTCGGCCTTCTCGGGCTAAGGGATTCCTCTGAGGTCGATTTGGTGCTTGGTGGTTTGTCTCATATTTGCCTATGTGGAAGGGCTTGTATGTTTTTTATGTTTCGTTGTCTAGTTTTAGGTTGGTTGGTTGTAAGTGTTTGTATTGCTTTAGTTTCATGTGTTTTTGGTTTGGCCTTTGGCCCTGTGAGCCCGAGTGTCACATTTATTATCCTGTTGGGATCAGACACTCGGGTATTATCCTGGTGGGATCTTTGTAGTTTTTCTTTGTTTGTTGTTGTGTTGGGTGTCTTCGAGTCTTGTTTTAGGTTTCTAGCGTTGCTAGAGTCCAAAATTATAAAAAGTATATATTTATTGCATTTTATGCAATCAATATAGTGATTCATATACAATCAAATCATTTGTACTATTTATTTTAACCAAAGATCAAATTTTAAAATATAATACTATTATATATTTATAATTTTAATATTATATACATAAATATAACTTATAATACTATATGTTTGAAATATAATACAATATATAATTTATAATTTTTATATTATATATATAAATATAACTTATAATATTTAATTTTATTTACATCTCTGCAAATGCACAATGTCAAATACTAATAACATTAAAATATTGAGAATTACTACTCACAAGTCACTATCTCCTCGTCTCAAAATCAATGGCACAATTTGCAAAAGTTAGAAAATAAACGGTATAATTAGCGGAGCGCCACTAAAAAATCTTATTTTCTATAAAATAATAATACTTACTGTAACATACGTCTATCCATATATTTTGTGTTGAATATTCAGTTCTTCCCCCTCCGCTCGAGAAAGTTTACTACAAAGCTCCATTTTTTTTCTAGATCTGAGAGTTCAAGTTCACCTCGAAAATCTAGGGTTTGTAATTTTCAATCCCAATTCCCCCAAGAACGTCATCTCCCAGGTGCAGGTAGCTAGGGTTTCAAGCTCTCCAGTGGTTTCCAACCTTAGTCGTGTTTATTGTAATTTCTTACCTTCATGGTTTTTTTCCGATTAATTTTTACTGTGTTTCAAGTTAAGTTAGAGCTACTGAAGGGTTTGAATGCTAGAAAATAGTAAAGCAAGTTCCCGACTGCGAAGGAGCTTGTGTAAGCCAAGTACTGTGGATAAACGTGCTTGATCGCGAGTAGTATAAATACATCCATATTTCGTGATCAAAGTCCGTAATTCAGAGGTCAATCGTGTGTATCTGTCTGAAGAATTCGAGTTGATATGCTGAAGCTTCGATTGTCGGACTCTGTTGCTTGAAGGTCTAATTCTGTTTAGTCTTTTAGAGAGTGTGTACTTAAGAGTTCATGGTGAAACTACAATGACATCTCATTATCGATAGTTTGCTAGATAGGAGTGAGAACTGGGCTAGGTTAGTTTTAACTAAAGACATGGTTTTTCAGTCTTGAGATTTACCTAAAGACATATGTTTTCAGTCTTGAGATGATGAATTGAGTTTCTGAAAATGGCGCTTAAGCTTCCAGCGGGAGAGGCTGCTAAGGTGGCCTTTAGTTCAATTGGTCGTGGATATGATATCTCCTTAGATCTTAGACTAAAGTATTGTAAGGGTGATTCTCGTTTGATTGAGATTGATGAGGATCAGGGTCTTGAGGTTGTTCTTCCAACTGGAGTTTCAGTTCCTCACGTGTCGAAATCTATCAAATGCGATAAAGGGGAGCGGACGAGGTTTCGTTCCGACATTCTCACCTTCCAGCAGGTTCTGCTGTTCTCAACGTACTTATCTTTGTCTTTCAAGATTTATTTATTTGTTCGTGGAAACATCCTTAATAACTTTCTTTTATTCTATGGTTTAAGTATGCATTATGGTCATTAATGCTGTAAAGGCGCAATTCACTTGGCTAAATAATATATATGCATAATGCTAGGCTAATGCATGAGTATTTCTGTTTGGCCATTTTGTCTGTTCCTTTATATATTTCCAATATTTGGCTGTTGTGGAGTCATTTGGATCGGATTTTAAGTGGTTTTTTTGGGTTTTGAGGGTAGGGCTCAGGGAAGGATCTAAAACCACTGTATGTCTGAGATCCATCAGAATTGCTTAAAAAGTTAAGAATTACTTGTAATCATTAACTTCAAAACATCCATGCAAATGACGATTTGGTTAATTTGTGCAAACATTGGAACTTCTCCATTCTATGTTTTACATAGCTTATGTGGTTGATGATATCATAAATTGAGCCTTAATCTCTGCCCTACACTACAGATGTCTGAGCAATTTAATCAAGAGCTATCATTGACTGGAAAGATTCCTTCAGGGTTCTTCAATGCTATGTTTGAGTTTTCTGGTTGTTGGCGGAAAGATGCTGCATACACTAGAACCCTTGCGTTCGATGGAGTATTTATAACACTGTACACAGTTGCACTAGAAAAGTCACAGATGGTGCTTAAGGATCACGTGAAGAAAGAAGTTCCATCGACATGGGAGCCTGCGGCATTGGCAAGGTATGGCTTTTGTTTCCTTTAAAAGTTTTTGCTGTAAATTATATTGCGTCATAGCTGGAAATCACCTCATGTATATATATATATATATAGGATGTGGTTCAAATGAGAACCAAGTCCTAGCGTGAGAACCGTGAGAACCGCTATTTTTAATTGTATGTAGTGCTATGATTGATTGTATTTAATGCTATTTTTAATCAGGATGTATTTTATTAAAAATAGCAACTTAGCATTTGTAAAAATGATAGCACCATGTAAGATTAAAAATAGCATCATACACAATTAAAAATAGCATCAAATATGGTTCTCACGGTTCTCACACCAGAAGAGGTTTTTATTTGAACCACTCCCTATATATATATATATATATCTTCTATATCTATATAAATATAAAAAGGTTTGGCATTTACCTGAAATAGAAGTAGAAATAGAAGTAGAAATCCCGCCTAAAATTTTTAAAATTACTAAACTTGGTAATCTTTTTGAAAAAAATAAAAAATGTACCGCCAATAAAACTTAAATTTTGAATATCAAAAATATTTTGCTTTTATTTTAGGGTTATTTTAATTTATTATGGAAACCAATTTATCTATTAATTTCAATGTGAATAAAGATCTTCCTCAAGATATATTATTCTATATTCATTGCAATTAATATCACTTAAAATAAGATATTGAAATCAGATCATATTTTAACTTATGAATTAGATCAAATATAATCCTAATATTTTATAGCATGAAATATTTACGGCTTTTACACTATGCATATATTATTTTAAATTGGTTCACATTTTTATACTGCATGTGTTAAAAATATAATATAGGATGACGCATTGCATTTTTTTTTTTTCGGTTTTTAAGTATTTTATTTTATAATGCATGTAGTGGAATATATTATCTTATATGGCACAGTTTTTGCAAAAAACATATCTTGGCTTATAGACGAATCTAGCTACAGTTTAAGTTACACAAACATTTAATAAAAAATCTATACCAAAGTAAATTTAAATTATGTTGATTTATTCAAAGCAAGAAAAAGAAAATTGTTTTTTTTTTTTCGTCAACATTTTTTAATAGAAGAAATGTGGTTTGCAACTGGGGGACATTACTTGAAATTTTAACTGACCGCATTATCAAAAAGAAATAAAATCTATGCATTTTTTATATGCCATCCAAAGGTTTTAAATTCAAATTATTTTCAATATTTTATATTTAAATTAATTTTAAAAATCTATCTATCCATATCTATAAGCATAAAAGATTTGTATTTACCAGGCTGTCAAAAATTTTATTTTACCTTATTTAATAACTTTTTTAAATATTTTTGAAAAGAGGCGGCCAATCATTTGAAATTCAAATTACAAAAATTAATGTAATTAATGTACAAATTTATTTTGATCAAATATAGCGGCTATTACCTTTATTACTTGGATGGTTTAAATTTGGTATATAATATACTAATGAAAAAAGAAAAAAAGTATCTAAAATTTAAAACAGTAATGGTTTAAATTTGGTATATAATATACTAACGAAAAAAGAAAAAAAGTATCTAAAATTTAAAACAGTAATCATTGGATAAATTTTTTAATAACAGTTCGGGACAATTTTATATAATTATGTATGTGCCACTCAATTTAAATTAAAATAGTGGATAAATATAGTTTCAATAAAAAATAATAACTTTCACCATGATGAAGTTGGAAGACGAGAAAAAAAAAAACAAAGAAAAATGCGATTAACACGGTCACACGATATTGCAAAGGGAAAAACAAATAGGAAGGATCATATCACGAATTTATATTTGAAAAGAAAAATCAATAGATTCATGAGAAAAAATAAATCAATTGTGGTATATTAAGAAAGTTTGATCTAGAGAATTTTCACTACGGAATGAAAAGGAAAACAAGGAAAAAAAAAATCAAAATTCCTATTAACAAATTAAATATTTGACAATCAATATGTAACTTTGAAAATGATTTTAAGAGGCATGCTAATACTAATAATACATTTAATGGTAAAATGAATTTAAAAAGACATGTAAAATAAATAAATACTGTATATTTCTGCAAATTTTTTATGATTTATATGTTTGATTGTAGTCTACTTAAGTGGATACTTACTTTGATTAATAGCATTACAACATAAATATATTAACTTTTTGTATGCAAATTTATAGTGTTATTGTAGTTAATTTGGGAAGAAATCTCTCTCTCTCTATATATATAGAAGTTTGTTTTATTTGTAATATAAACTAAACCCCCGCCTAAAAATTTTAAAATTACTAAACTTGGTAATCTTTTTCGAAAATTTTCAAAAAAAATCCCACCTATAAAGATTAATTAATCAATTTATAGTATAAAGTTGACAATTAATAAATCCGGTTTTGTTTTAAAGTTGACGACTTTATTTGAGGTATCTGATGACCAATTTTATTTTTAGTAGAAATTGTGTTGTTATTATAAATGTCCGAATTCATGGTATAAAGTGATCGATTTTATTTTGGTATGAAATGTTCGAATTTAAATGGTATAAATTTTATTTAGTATGGATAGAAGTATACTTGGAATACTCAATTATCTATAGTTTAATAAATCACTCGACTACTTAATTTTTTTTAGTTTAGATAGTTTATATAAAAATAAATTGATTTTAATTAATGAAATAATATAAGTTTTATAATTCACTTATTATTCACATAGATTTTTAAATATATGATAAAATTTTACCAAACTAATTATTTTATGCAATCATATCGTAGTCAAATGAAATTTATTAATAACATTTTAAAATGACATTTATTTTGAAATGAATATAATGTAATTTATTATCATCACTTGCGCCGTACGAGTTGTGTACCAATTTTAAATATACATGTTTTGTGTAGTTTTGCACAATTTAAATTTCATAAACATTTTCAATAAATATAGGTAAATTGTATATATATCGATTTAATGAGTATTTTTAATTTATAATATTAATGAATATCTCTTACCCTCGCATCGCACGGGATTCATACTAGTATATATATAAAGAGGCAACCTATTTACCGAAAATAGTAGCAAGAAAAGTCAATCAGCATTTATTGCATTCTATTTTTGGCAATTTTTGAATTTTATTTTTAAATTATTCCCAAAAAATCGATGATCCCTAAATTCATGGGTATTGTGGATTTAATTTAGGTAAATTTCGACTGATGCTTACAATTTTGCAAAAGTCAAAATTCTTTTTCATTTTCATTAAAAAAAACTGATTACCATAAAATCGGGAATTTCGAATTAGGTAAATATCACATATATCTTTTCCTAATTGCAACATATCAAATGTTTATTAAAAAAAATCGGATTGCATAGAAATCGGGTTAATTTAGGTAAAATTCGGCATGATAATTTTGTAAAAGTTAAAATTTTCTCATTTTTTATTAAAAAAATATGTTTACCACAAAATCGGGAATTTCGAATTAGGCGAAATACTATAACATGCATCTTTATCTAATTGCAACAATCATGTTTATTAAAAAAAAATCGGATTGCATAGAAATCGGGCCCAATTTCAAATTGAAAATTAAATTTAAAAATCTCTTATCATTTGGCTACTACTTTCTTTAGTTTGGATTTTTTTGTAAGCATAAAACAGAGTCAGATAATATTAAGTTGAAATTCAAAACGAAATCGGATTGTAACATCCTAAAAATTTTGGTTTTGTTTAATTCTCTAGAATACAAATTTGAAATTGATTGCATACACTTACACAATTTTTTCGTTTCTTAAATTAAGTAATTTACAATTTTAAAATAATAAGGCTATAGATTATCAAGAAAGATACGTTTTACAATCTCTGTTATATTTGGCTATGCAATCTTCATAAAAGCAGGATAAATTATGTCATATATGTCCTACTAAATAATTTAATTGATTTACTTCAGCCTATCTAGAATCCTAATATAATTTGTAGCGATATACGATGTACCAAAAGACCAAACAAATAATATTGTGTACAAGGATGTGTTTAATAATATATAAGTCGCATTTTGTTTTATGCCAATACATGCTTAATACGTTCTTCCAATCATCCAATCTAAATGCTTACCTTAATAAAACTAGCCCGTGCATCGCACGGGTACTGCACTAGTTCGATGAGACAAGGATTGGAGAGGTGTAACTAAAAGATGCGTTTATAGGCATTTAATATCGGCTTAGGAGTTCTTCATTGCCTTTTAACCTATTTGACTATCCTTTCAGTCTCTTAGAATACAACTATGCATGCATGCGTGTGCTTGTGTTGCATCACTTACAAAACACTCTGTGTAGACATAGTCCCCGTATATGGTATTTAGCATGTGAAGATTCTACTTGCAGTTTAGCGCTGAGAAATAAGCCCTGCAGCTTGAGAAACCTTTTATACGCTCTAATTTACATGAAAACTTGATTGCTGCGCTTGGATAAACTTTGGACTTAAATGTGTGTTTCATGTCCTCCAAATTCACCAATCATTTAGATTTCTACTTCATTATGTGAGGAGTAGAAAAATTCTGAGAAGACCTTTGTTCAAGAAAAAGGAACTCGCGTCCTGTTTAGAGCGATAAATTTTTTAAATCTGCAAGCTAATAGTGTGATTAGTATCTTAATCTCATCAATGCGTGCTGTCAAACAGTTAACAGTTTATGTATTGTCCTAGTAATAACTACTGTGAATTTAGCAAATAGGTGCACATATGAATTTTTGCATCAAGTGATATCAGACCATCTTTTCAGGTTTATTAGTAAGTTTGGCACTCATGTTATTGTTGGCATGAAGATGGGCGGTAAGGATGTAATTTACATGAAACAGCAGCATTCTTCATCACTCCAACCAGCTGATGTGCAAAAAAAGTTGAAGTCTATGGCAGATAAGAGGTTCATGGATGCAAATGCACAAAATGAGCTGGATTCCGAGCAAATATACCAAAGCCAGAAGGTATGAAAATTGTTTTAGTTGTTTTGGAATAAGTGTCAAATCAATGTGAACAATTAAAATCTAAAACCAAATCAGTCCTTTAATTTATTACTTTATGGATGAGTTTGTGTGTGGGGGATGAACACTATAAAGGTCACATTATCTTCTTGTATTGAAGTGGACATCAATTCCCTTCAGTTGATATTCTTGCCTTACCATAACTGCATCTATATGCGTTAGTTTGTTGCTGCTGCCTCTATCTAGCTGCATGCATCTCTTATAGTTGTCTTCTTTCCCTTTTCTTCATATTCGTTTCTCTTTCTGTTTTTACTCCTTTCTTCTCTTCAGTATAGATATACTTGGAACATAGACAGCTAACTAACTTAACACACTGACATTGCAGTTCAGTTAGTTTTCTAAACCAACTGAAACAATAAGGTATCTAAATGATTGTTCTCTATCAATATGAATCCCGAAACCATTGGAGTCTTCATATTCACGCAAAAAACTAGGCTTTGTGGTTGTTTTAAACTTTATACAAACTCTATTGACAACATACTATATAGACACTTTACTCGTTTGCTAGTTAGTCTCCTCTGATATTCATCTAGCATCGGATGCAGTTAGTGTTTATCTGAGTAGTTAATTGAAGTTAAGAGTTAATTGTGGAACAAATATGTGCCATCTTATGTAGTGGAGTTTTGGAGCAAATTCCAAAAACTCCTGTTCATGTGTAAATTTACAGTATGCTAATTCTTAATTGATTGCTGTTTAATTTGCAGTCAGTATCGATCGTGGAAGGTTCACTCTTTTCTTGCTACAGTATGGCTTACCTGCTACATCTTTTCTTTTTTATTTTATTTATTTTTATTTTTATTTTTATTTTTTTATTTTTTATAAAGAGATCATGTAACACTTCGCTCCTGTTGTTTAGAGGCTTTTAGTCTATGCATTCCATTCTTAATTATAATATCTGTTCCACGCAGTCAGTGAGGAGATGGATGATTTACTTTTTCGTGGAGTTTGACAATTGATGCATTTTCTCCTCAATATATAACTTTATGATCGTCTTTACTTCAGTTTGAAATGAAGGAGTCGCGGCTCAGGTTCGCAGATAATGGCACATTAAGTTCTTATTCACATAAAGATGTGAGTCTTTTAACTTTCATGGTCGCAATGTCACTGGTATATTTGTGCTGACAGGCTTAGGTTTCTATTTATGTAACACTTGTTTGTTTGATTTGTGGCTAACAGGACATCGTTAGCATCTGCAAAAGAAGAGGAGGAAGTGATGGAGGAAGTTTGACACACAGTGAGTGGCTACAAACAGTTCTGTTGGAGCCTGATGTCATCTCCATGTCCTTTATACCGATAACATCCTTGCTAAATGGTGTTCCTGGAAGTGGCTATTTGAGTCATGCCATAAATCTTTATTTGCGCTGTGAGTGAACTCTCTCCTTTGTGTGTCCTGTTGAGTTTCTCCAATTGCACATATTTCCGTTTAAAAATGAAAAAGAGGATTCTTTGCTCTCGGTGACCCAAGTGAGAACAACAAGGAGATGTGGCCTCCCATAATGTGATAAAACTTTGAGAGCATTCGGGGAAAAAAAAAACTGCAACAGAAAACAGTACTAGAGTTTCTATAATCAAAATTGGTTTTACATAAAAAACATAATTTGGATCGATGTTAAAATGTTAACTAATAATTGTCACATTGACCTCCATACTTAAACATAAAAAAGAGGAAAAGAAAAAAGAAAAAAAAAATGATTCTTCAACATGTTTGTTGGGTGGCAGTCTCAAGCCATTCTAGATGTAACCCTATTCTTCGTGATGTAGACAAGCCGCCAATCGAAGAGCTTCACCAGTTTCTGGAATTCCAGCTGCCTCGGCAGTGGGCACCTGTGTTTAGCGATCTTCCCCTTGGCCCTCAACAAAGACAGCAAAGTTCAGCTTCATTGCAGTTTAGTCTCATGGGCCCCAGACTCTTTGTAAATACTACATTGGTAACCTCTTCCCCCTCCCTTTCCCCTACACACACATCCCCCCTTTCATTTTGTGTTTTGTGTTTCCGAGAATTTCGTATGATGTAAGTTTTGGTTTTTAACCATTAACATGTTCAGGTTGATGCGGGCAAGCGGCCGGTGACCGGGATGCGATTGTACCTCGAGGGCAAGCGCGGCAACCGCCTAGCAATCCACCTCCAGCACCTCTCCTCTCTCCCCTCAATCTTCCAGCTGGCGGACTGCCGCTGCCCTCCGGCCCACCCCCACGACCGCAAATACTTCGAAAAAGTACAGTGGAAGAGCTTCTCCCACGTGTGCACGGCCCCCGTCGAGTCGGAAGAGGACCTCTCCATCGTGACCGGGGCCCAGCTGCAGGTCGGTGAGCACGGCTTCAGGAACGTGCTCTTCCTCCGCCTCCGCTTCTCGACCGTGGCTGGGGCCGTGGCTGTGAGGTACCCCGAGTGGGACGGGTCCCCAGGCCTGACTCGCAAATCGGGCCTCATTTCCACGCTCATCAGCACCCACTTCACGTCTCCCCAGAACCAGAAGAAGCAGCCTTTGCCGGCGGATGTGAATGTTAATTCGGCTGTGTACCCTGGGGGCCCGCCCGCGCCCGCGCAGGCTTCGAAGCTGCTGAGGTTCGTGGACGTGACGGAGATGATGCGGGGCCCGCAGGAGGCGCCGGGGTACTGGGTGGTGTCGGGGGCGAGGCTGGTGGTGGAGCGCGGGAAGATCTCAATCCGGGTTAAGTACTCGTTGCTCACGGTTGTACAACCGGACGATGATGTGGTGGAATGAGAT